AGGCAGAGGGTCCGGGTGGGGCTCGGGGGTGCTCGGGGAGGGGGGGGGTGCAGGGTGCAGCAGCATCCTGCATTGGGCATCACGCCGTTGTTCACGTCGGGCTGGCGGTCCCTGGTCCCCGTCAGGGAGGTTGCCTCAGTTTCTCCTGGGGCTTTGTGTATGGACAGGGGGAAGAGAAGAGGAGGAGGAAGGCTCGCACAACCTGTGGGACCACCCGGGCCACCCTCAGCTCCCCCCACCCCATGTGCCACCACCTCAGCAAGCGCCTACCAACCAAACCCCATCCCACAGCCACACTCCCCACACTTTTCCCCTTCTCCTCCGATATCCGTCCAGCTCCTGGCTTCGTGAAGGTGCGGTGCCATCTCCGACCAAGGGCAGCGCGCAGGCCAGGGTGAAGGCAGCTGCCTGCAGGCCCAGGCAGCCATGTGGTGGCAGGTCCCTTTGGGCAGCTCCTGGAAGGGGTGTAGGATGCTGGTGGGGTACCAACTGGAAGCCTCTCCCGCTGGAGGAGGGCACAGTGCTGCCCCTGCCTCAGTTTCCCCTCTTCTCAGCCATAGATACATTTTAGGCTGCCTATTGGGAAGGGGGGTTAGTTCCGGACGGAGCCAGCGGCATTGGTGGCAGCCCCGAGGAGACAGAGCTCAGCATCACCCTGACCCTCCGCATGCTCATGCACGGCAAGGTAATGGCAGGGGGGGGGTCGGTGCTGCTCGGGGGGCTCAGCAGTACTTGGGGTGGGGGGCCATACTGGAGCACCAGCTCCTTGCCACACGCTGCTTTTCTCCCTTGCTCCCAATTTCCCCAAGGAACAGCATTCCCAGAAGGATTTGTTCCCCCACCCTGAGCCAGGGACGGGCCCGTTCCCATGCCCCAGTGTCACCAGCAAGCCACACAGTGTCCCAGTGGCTCTGGGGCAGGGTCTCCCGTTGTCCATCTGCCAGGCTGTGGGCAGGGGAGGGATGTGGCAGGCAGGGAGCTGCCTGCTGATGGGGCCACCCTCATTTCTGCCTTTGCAGGAGATCGGCAGCATCATCGGCAAGGTAAGATTTGGGGGCCAGGGCACCACCAGCCCCAGGCTCTCCTGGACCTGACCACCCACCCTGTTCCTCTCCCCGCAGAAAGGAGAGACTGTTAAGAGGATACGAGAGCAGGTAAGGGTATGCTGGGGGGCTGCTGGGTCCTGCTGCCTGTCCTGCCTGCACCTGGTGGCTCCCACATGTCCAGCCCTGACTCCCCCCATTCCCAAGTGGACCCAGGGGACACATGGCTGCACCCTGGGGAAGGCTGCCTGGGGCAGGTGGGAGGGGGAAAGCCCATATCTGCAGGCATCAAACCCCCAGTGAGCCCTTCCCTGGGTTGGGGGACATCAAGCTCAGGGCCCACAATGGGGTGTGACACACGCTGATGGGGTGTGACACCGTTCCCAGAGCAGCGCGCGCATCACCATCTCAGAGGGGTCCTGCCCCGAGCGCATCACCACCATCACCGGCTCCACCGATGCCGTCTTCCGCGCCGTCTCCATGATCGCCTTCAAACTGGAGGAGGTAGGCAGCCCCCATGCTGGGTGTCCCCACACCTGAGGGCTCCTGGGGGTCCGACACTGCGTCCTCCCTCCCTCGCAGGACCTGGGAACAGGGAGCGATGGGGCAGCCGCAGGCAGAGCACCGGTGACGCTGCGCCTTGTCATCCCGGCCAGCCAGTGCGGCTCACTCATCGGCAAGGCAGGAGCTAAGATCCGGGAGATCCGGGAGGTGAGGCTAAGTGTCCCCTGGGTGTGGGCTCCCCTTTTTCCTTGGGAGGCACAGAGCGCTCAGTGTATGGGTTGCCACGGTCCCGCAGGGGCTGTGGGAGGTGATGCAGGAGTGGAGCATCACCTTGCGGATCCTGCGAAGGTCCCCAGGGACCAAGGAGGGAACAGGGGAAGTGTGAGGTGCTCAGCCCTGAGGTGGGGTATGGCCGAGACACCCCAACATCTCCCTTTTCCCCCTAGAGCACGGGGGCGCAGGTGCAGGTTGCCGGCGACCTGCTGCCCAACTCCACTGAACGGGCCGTCACCGTCTCGGGTGTACCGGACACCATCATCCAGTGCGTGAGGCAGATCTGCGCTGTCATCCTGGAGGTACCCACCAAGCCCCATGCCCAGCTTGGGTTGGCAAATGCTGCCCACCCTCCCCTACCTGGGGCTTCCCGTGCCTGCCTGGACCCAGGCACCAGGGTCCCCCTGCGTGGAAGCCCATAAGAGCACCCTGCCTCAGTGGCGCTGGGGGCCATGCCCAGCTTGTTTGGGGGTGGTGGGGAGGTAAAGGGTGTCAAGGGGGCTGTGGGGGCATTTGACCTAGTCTCTCATCCCCTCCACCTCCTTCCCTCCCTCTCCAGTCGCCTCCGAAGGGGGCCACCATCCCCTACCACCCTGGCCTCTCCCTGGGCACCATCCTGCTCTCTGCCAACCAGGTAAGGGGCTGCAGCCCCCCTGAGGGCACAGGGTGGCCGGGGAACCCAGCCTATGCCGGCGAGGGGCAGCTCCGGTGGCCTTGGGATGGCCTCCCTGCCCCAGGGGGTGGGTTACCTGAGGCAGGGGTCCCTGCCTGGCCCTGCACTGATGCCCCTTCCTTTCCCACCTGCAGGGCTTCTCCATGCAGGGTCAGTACAGCGGGGTCTCTCCTGCAGAGGTGAGTCTGTCCCCATGGCAGCCCACTCCCGCTCCCATGGGCACGGGGTCTGTGCCCGCTGGGACAGGCACTGCCAGGGATGCCTGTCCTGGGAGGAGCTGGGTGTCAGCGTCCAGCCCCGGGAGGGGACAGGGGACCCTCTGCTGTCACCCCTAATGCCTCCTTCCTCCTCCTCCTCCTGCTGCCCGGGCAGATGACGAAGCTGCAGCAGCTGTCAGGGCACACGCTCCCCTTCGCCTCCCTGGGCCACGCACCCTCCATGGTGCCAGGTGAGCATCTCCCAGCCCCCACCACCACCCCAGGGCTGGAATTTTGGGGTCCCCCTCCTGACCCACCCACCCACTTGGCCCTGATGAGGGGGTTCCCATCCCCTGCACCCTCTCCGGTCCCAGAACCCCCAGCACGGCTACCTGACCCCCAGAACGACCCTGTCCTTGATTTCCCAGGGTCCCTGAACCCACCAGAACCCCCCAGCCCTGCAATGGGGGAGCATCAGCACCAAATTACTACTGGTGCCTATGTCCCATCTTCCCTGCCTCTCCCCAGGGATCCTTCAGGTTTGTCCCCAGAGCCACTCACTGTCCCAGCACAGGGCTGGAGTTGGGCTATGGAGTTGCTGGAGACCCACCCTCCCCACCACTAACACCCCGGTTTCTCCCTCCAGGCCTGGATGCCAGCTCCCAGAGCACCTCCCAGGAGTTCCTGGTGCCCAACGACGTACGTGTGGGTCCCGGGGATGACGGGGGGGGGGGACAACCACAGCTTGCCCCCACCCATGTGTCCCACCCCGCAGCCACTTTGCAGGGGCCAGCACCCACTGCCCCACACAGGGGAGGCTCTGCCTCGGCCACCAGAGCCCAGGAGCAGAAGGGGCTGCTGGGTCAAAAGCAGCTGGAAGAAAAGGGAAACTAAGGCACAGCAATGAGAAAGGGCTTGACCAATGCCAAGGAAGAGCTTTGGGACATGGCAGCCCAGCAATGCCAGCCAGGGGGGCTTAAGTGAGACCAAAAAGCAGGGTCTGCCCAAGGAAAGCAGTGCCCTGCCCTCCTGGTGCCTGCCTCAGTTTCCCCAGTCCTCCCAGGTGTAGGGGGTGGCTGGGTGAGCCCCCTGGGAGCTCCCTGCTCGGCATGGCTGCTCCGGCTGCTCCCAGCTCACCCCGGTCTCTGCCTTTCCAGCTCATCGGCTGCATCATCGGCCGGCATGGCAGCAAGATCAGCGAGATCCGGCAGATGTCGGGCGCCCACATTAAGATCGGGAACCAGACCGAGGGCTCCAGCGAGCGGCACGTAACCATCACGGGGTCCCCCGTCAGCATCACCCTGGCTCAGTACCTCATCACAGCCTGGTAGGTGCCAGCCTAGGGGGGGGGACACGCTGGCTGCTAGTGATGGGTGGCACCTCCCCAGCACCCCAACACAGCTTTTGGGGGATACCCTCACGCCAGCATCCTCAGGAAGGATGAGCTGGGTGGTGATTTGAGGTCCTGACATGGTGGGTGCAGGACCCAAGACCCCACAGGGCCGGAGGCACAGCTTTTCAGACCTCCCCAGCGGGATGCCTGGGATGTTCCATGGAGACCTGTGTGGGAAGGGATGGGGCACGCAGTCCCTACACCCCAAGACAGGCAGGTTGATGCCAGTTACCCACTCTGTCCCAGCGGTCCTCACCACCCCATCCTTCTCGCTTGCTTCCCCAGCTTAGAGACCGCCAAATCTACCTCCCAGGCGCCACCAGGCCCTGGCTCTGTGGACCTCGGCGTGGGCTTCTCCCAGCCCCTCACCCCAGGCTCCGGCGCGGCGCTGCCTGCTGTTGCCCCAGCCCCCCCGGCCCTGCTGGGCACCCCCTACACCATCTCCCTCTCCAACTTCATTGGCCTGAAGCCGGTGTCCTTCCTGGCGCTGTCCCCATCCTCCATGGCGGGGCCCAACGGCGG